AAGTCATTTATAATTAAATTATTAATTTTTTTCATAATTTATAGCATAAAGTTTTTTGTACCCAATTGTTCAAACCCACATTATTAACATAGTATGATGTTTTTTATTATCATAAAATTGAATATTATTATAAACGTTTAACAAAAAAAAACTTTACTGGTAAGATAAAAACCCATTTTAATTTTTATCATAGCATTTTAATTTTTTTGAATTTATAAATTATATGATAGAATATACAATAAATATTTATGTGTGAATAAAATTTTTTTGTATGGTATTGTATAATAATGTAATTGCATATTAAATCTCTTAACACTATACTGTCATATAAATTATAAGATATGTTTATCATATAACAAGCAGACAAACACACACACAGTTTATTGTTATTTTTATTTTATATGAGTGCCACTTATTTCTAAATAATAATAATAATAATACTATACAATACATAAATAAATGGCTTATCTATACGTATTTTATAGCTCATTAATATTTATCAAAATTATATTTATCATAAAAATCTCTGTCAGTTAAATATATTATGATATATTATTCAATATATAGATATATTTTTAACTTACATTATTGTCATAATCATCATTATATATATCATTCAATTTTTTAACTTTAATATGTTTTCTTATTTTTTTTGGTGAAGAATAATAATACCAACAATAAAATAACCATATGTTTAAAGTTGTATACAGTATAATATATTAAATATATGAATGTAATGGAGCTAAAAATTACTTTATAATAGTTTGTGATAAAAAAAATTGACAAATTTTTCTAAATATTTAATCGGCAAACTTAGTGGAAAAATTTATAAAATTATTTTTTAGAATAAAAACATTAATTTTATAAGTCATCATTAAAAAACCCACATTACTAAAACAGATGATAAATTTATAAGTATTAAAATCTCATAATAACAATATATTATAAGAAATTTAAAATATATTTTTAGATTAAAAGTTATTTTTCTTAAAGTTTAATTTTTTAAAAATTAAGAGTTAAACTATAGAAAATATGTAAATGCAAATAAATAAGACACTTTCAGTCATTTAAATGATTTAAATACGACAATTTAGTTTTAATACAGTATTAATAAATAAACCGAACATTTATTTTCTAACAAAAAATCTGTAAATTTTTACAAACAAAAAATTCTTAATCGGAATTATTAACATCACTAACTTTATTATTATAACTGTAAATTAGTTAATAAAACATATATAAAGAAAAATAGACAAGTTAAACCAACCAAATAATATAGTAATAATCATAAATATATAAAATATAAAGATTAATTTAATTGTCTATTTATCATCAGATTTAACAAATATGAGAATTATTATTATTATTTTATAATAATAATAATAATATGACAAATGTTTGAGCAATATTTAATATCATCAAATATTTTTTATATGATACAGTTTTAACTAACTAAAAGATGTTTTGAATACTGGAATAATAGTTGAATCAAGTAATCCAATCATTTTAGGGTCTGTTAGATCTCGAAAAAAATGGTATGAGCCAGAGATATACTATACTGTACTATATTATAGTATAGTATACTACAGTATAATAAAGAATATTTTTTATATGCAGTGATAAAATATGTCAAACCAGTGTTTGAGATAATGGTCGCCCAAAATTAAGAGTCACACCAAAAATATATATAAAATTAGTAATTAAAGTGCATATTTTGCTGTCATTAATCATCAAATGCTATATACAACCAACAAATAGCACACACAATGGTTTTGTTAATTAAAATATTTTGAGTGGCTTTTGGTGCTGACTATACAATGTATTTATACTATATATTATTTAATACTGTAATGTTTTAATGCTATTAATCGACTGATTTTGATATTATATATTAGTTTCATTATTTAGAAAAATATTTGGACACAAAAGTCAATAAAATTTTAATATAATAATTTTTAACATTTTATTCTAAATATCAAATTTTTTAATATACAATATTTTTCTACATAGAAGCTAATGTAGAAAATATTGTTGTTGAAAATATTCATATATCATATAATATAATATATATATACTATATATATTAAATTCACAAAAATGTTATATATTAATAACTTACATAACATGCATGGATAAAATTTCATAAAAATCTAAATTTAACAAATATTTTTGAGCGCATTATTCAATAATAAATAGATTTATATTATTTATAGTACTATATTATACTTTATCATCATATGTGTGCAGTTTAACATTTGATTCATAAAAAATTAATTTATACTTAAAATATGTTTTTAGATTTTGTTGTTGAAAACTACTTTATATACAAATATACTGTATGTCCGATGCATTTCATAACATCTGTATCTATTTGAATAATTTTAGTTCACATATAAAAGTTTTTTATATATAAGTACTGACCTGAAAAATCCCATTAAAATACATTTTTAAAAATATTCTGCAAATCTATTAATATGAGTACAAATATGCTAAAAAATTGAATATAAAAAAGTTATAAAAATAATGGTAATCAGATTTTTTTTGTGATTTAAAACATCATAGCTATTGTTTGCTATAATAATAACAATAATAATTTATGAATTATTATTACTATCGAATATATTTACATTTTATTTAGACTTACTTTGATATTCAATTTTTTATGGATAAAACAATAATAGGATATATAATATGGAGTTGTATTGTATAACATAATCTATTTGTTTTGTCATATTTTGTTTATTTAATATTGTATGAAAACACGAAATTTATTTGATGTAACCTTTGAAAAATGCAAATTTTATTATTTAATGTATATATAAAAAAAATTCTAAAATAAATCTATTAAATATATTGTATTTTGTTTAATATGATAAAAATATTTTTAGTTTCAATAGAAATCATAACATTTTCTATAAATAATGAAACTAAATTTTGTATGTTATTAATTTTCATAATTAATGATTTAACAATTTAATTAGTCTAACCAACATAAACACACAAATGAATTCATGTAAATATTTTTCATACAATATACTATAAGATGTATAAATTAATGCTTTTTAAATAAAACAAATTAAATTAATTAATCAAAAGTTTATCATCTCATAAATCTGTTTATATATTTTCTAAATAAATTTTCAAACTAAAATATAAAACATATAGTAATAATAATGTTAACAATAGTAAAACACAATAACTAATAAATACAATTATTTAACATGCAAACTATGTGACATTTAGCATGCAATATGAAACGTTGTATATATTCTATGTAAAAGTAGAATTATAATAAAAATATTTTTTTTATATAAATTGTATAGTAAATACATGATACCTTATACTGTATAGAGTAAATATAGAGTACAATATTATTATCATTAATATTTTGTATTTTATTTTTTGAGAAAAACTATAACATGTCTAAAATGACAAATAAATAATAATGATTAAATATCTAATGTTTACTAATCTATTGTATATGTGAGAGTACATTAAAAATGATTAATAATAAATAAAGAAATATTGTTGGCATACAATAAAAGTTGATATTATAAATCAATTACTTTCTCAAAAATGCATATAAATTTGAATATTGTTTACTGTTTATTATGTGTACATTGAATTAATGTCAATAAATGATGACAATGTGTCAATATAAGACTTTTAACATTAATTATATTGTATTATAATATTTTTATAATATACCATAAATATTTAATAATATTATATTTACAATGTTCAACATAAACAGTTTTTAAAAATAATAATATAAGCTATTTTACATTTTAAACTAGCTTAATTTTACAAATATTTATATATAAATTCGAATATTTAAATAAATTAAATTATGTTAAGTAGAAACAAAAATATAAATAAAAAACACAAACATTTATGTAAATTAAATTCACATAAATCATTAAATTCTGAAAAAACTTCAAAATTTTTAATTTAATTAATTTTTAATTTATGTTTATTTAATTTTTTGCTTAATTGTTTATTTTTTAATTAAATGTTTTATAAAAGTTTGTCTTATATATAATAATTATTATTTATTTAATAATTATATCAATTTTTGTAAATAATTAATTGAAAATTAAGCTAAATAACTACATTTTTATTTTATGTTAATATATTATTATTTATGAAATAAGTTTATAAAAAAAATATTTCTGAGATATTAAAATACAAATATACTGTCAAACAAACTATTTAAATGATAAATAAAAAATAAACTTAAATTAATTTAGATGTAATTTTTTATATTAAATAATAACTGATCTATATTTTAGTAAATTACTCTAATTTAATATATAAATTATATCGAGAATAAAAAAATCATTTAATAAATTTATAAATGTTTTGAATAAAATGACAGTTACTATAATATACTGTATTATAAATTATAATTCATGGGTCAAAATATTTTTAGTTATAAATTTACTGTCATATACTGTATATATATATATATATGAATATTATGATTGATTTGATCTTTTAAAGTAATATTTAAAGTCCCGACACTTTTGCTTTATATTAAAAGTTTGCAAAATATTTTTTTTATCTTTCGAGAAACTTTTAACAAAATAAAATAAATGTGTTAAATAAAAAAGTTTTACAAAAAAATACAGTCATTGACTATATTTTTGTTATTTAGTATAATTAAAGTTCGATCAACATTCCCAGGGAGGGAAGTTCCCTAAATAAATCCCTCCATTTTTTCCGGAAAATATTTTATTTTTCCACTCTCGATCGTTAGAAAGAGAATATATATATTTTTTATTATTAAAATAAATACTAATAAAACTTAAATATTTTGCAAAAAAATATTGAAATATTTAAAAATAAATTTGAATTCCATAACTTTAGTGAAACTATTTATCAATACAACTCAAAATACAGATTTAATATAATATTTGTTTCTCATAAAAAAAATTGTTATAAAATGTAATAATAAATGTGTTGTTTAGAGTTTAATATGTGTTAACATAACGAAATAGATTCCATAGGAATTCCCAGTGAGCAGTGGGAACATAAGGAACATAAGGAACATAAGGAACATAAGGAACATAAGGAACATAAGGAATATAAGGAACATAAGGAACATAAGGAACATAAGGAACATAAGGAACATAAGGAACATAAGGAACATAAGGAACATAAGGAACATAAGGAACATAAGGAACATAAGGAACATAAGGAACATAAGGAACATAAGGAACATAAGGAACATAAGGAACATAAGGAACATAAGGAACATAAGGAACATAAGGAACATAAGGAACATAAGGAACATAAGGAACATAAGGAACATAAGGAACATAAGGAACATAAGGAACATAAGGAACATAAGGAACATAAGGAACATAAGGAACATAAGGAACATAAGGAACATAAGGAACATAAGGAACATAAGGAACATAAGGAACATAAGGAACATAAGGAACATAAGGAACATAAGGAACATAAGGAACATAAGGAACATAAGGAACATAAGGAACTTTTGGATAATAAAAAGAGGGAAAGAATGTGAGTTAACCATAATTACAATACAAGATGTATTTAAAAAGTGAAATCAAGTTTTTAATATTTTTTTATAAGTAATGTTACACTAGTCTTGTATAATATTAAAAAATAGATATATTTTTTAACTAACATAATATTTTACTTAATCTCAAAACTATAAGTAAAATTATATCAATATATTTATACTTATCTATATTATACTGGTATATATATTAAATCAAGGTCTTTTAAAAATAATATTTTATTATTTAGGTAATCATAAATATATAAAATTTAACATTAAGTGTAAATAAGATGTTTTTTGATGGCACTTACTTTATAATGCATTAAAATATTATTCTAGTATATATTATATGGTATTGATATTTAAAAAAAACTATTGTTTATACAGTAATATTACTGTACAAAAAACAACACTTACCATTGATTTGGATTATAATAATAATAAAAAAAAGAAAGTAAATTGCATTTCATATACAAAAACAAAAAATAAACAAACATTAAACTTAAAAATTGTTATTTAAAAATTTACAAAAATCTCTACGGATTTATAAAAAAAAACACAAAACACTGGCAGATATAGTGAGGAATATAAATCAATGGATTTAAATGTTTTGAACAAAAAGTAAATTTGTTTTACAGTACAATACGTTATACAATATATAAATTATACATATTTTTCTATTAGTACTATAGTTTGTTTTGAAAATAAAAAAATTTATGTATTTTAATCTATCATCTATCAAAAACAACATTCCCAGGTCTATTAATAATTATTCTATTTTTTAACATTATTTACATTAATAACTATTTGGCTAAATTTAGTTTGTATTTTCTAGATATATACGCGGCTTAGAGTTTATAGATTATTATTACTATTATATCAGTAATCTTATAGTTTGATTTTAAGTCTTGAGATTTGAAATCTTTTTAAAAATACATTGAAATATGATTAGGACAACACACACACACACACATATATATATATTGAATATACTATGTAATTATAATAAAAAGTTCATATACAATACTGTATATGTGTTGTACAATATATACAGTATATATATATATATATACTGTACAGTATTTTATAAATAAAACCAATAATATATGACTTAAATCTGAAATGATTGATAAAAGAAAAATAAAAATTATAAATATTTTACTTTACTTATATACTGTATTGTTAAAGTTATAGGATTTTATATATGAGTTTTTCAACAAATTTAAAAAACATACATTAACACACACACACACACACACACACACACACACACACACACATACACACGTTATGTTAACATAAAAATTGACTACAATTATAACATTTTATTGTTGAGTACGATATATTGAATGTAAGGTAGTGTTACATTACAAAAATTGTTGATATTAAATGCATTAGTGAACAGTAATATATGTATTATATAGTCTATCATTAATAACAGTAGTGATAATTTTTACATTATTCGACTCACAATTATCGCGTGAAATGCATTACAAATCTTTTTTTTATTATTGAACCAAAAATAAATATAAAACATTTGCGATATATGAATGCAAAAAATGTATATAATTTCATAATAATAAATGAGAGCAGAAATTTAAATACTATTTTATTCTAATATTAAATATAAAAATAATAGACAAAATATAATCAATAAAAATATTTTTACATTAATCTCTCTCTCTCTCTCTCTCTCTCTCTCTCTCTCTCTCTCTATAAATAAGTGTAGCATTTAATTATATTTAAATACAACATTAAAATACATTTAAAACTTTTATTTAACTTCAAATATAATGCATTATTACTTAAAACACTTTTTATGTTTTGAAGTTTTTGAGTCTTTTTCCTACCGAAACATTATAATACATATAAAAGAATTTAGAAAAGAATTTTGCAATAATTTATAACTATATCGTGAAAAAAATGAAATATTCTTAAAGCAACCAAATAGTAAAATATATATAAAATTATATATATATATATATATATACTGTATATAATAAATGTCTGAAAAAATTTGAGACAAATAATTTCTACTGACTTTTTTTGATTCTTTGATTTGATTTTAAGCGCTTATATAAGTGAAAAATTCATGACTTTAATGCTCGAGACATTTGAGTCGCTATTTTTATGTCATTTTAATCAATTGAACTTTAAGTGCATGAGTTGGATACTAATAGATATTAATAGATAAATAAATTTTTATAAATATATATAAAATCAGTACAAAATCACAATAAGATAACAACAACAAGTTAAACAAGTAGTGTTGTACTACAAACACACACACACACACACACACAAAATAATAATAATAGATTTTTTTATTATTGAAATTAAATATAAATAATAATGTATAATAAATTAGTGTCTGAATTGACTTAAAGTCTCAAGTGCTTAGCATTACATTTACAGTATATACATATTATACAGAATACCTTATAATATTGTATTTTTCAAAGTCAACTGAGAAATGTGATAATTGAATTGCATTTGCGTCTAAAGCCGTTTGTATGTATGTGTATGTGTGTGTATGTGTGTGTATTTGTGTGTGTGTGTGTGTGTGTGTGTGTGTGTGTGTGTGTGTGTGTGTGTGTGTGTGTGTGTGTGTGTGTGTGTGTGTGTATGTATGTGTGTATGTTGTATGACAGTGAGTGAGCGCATTAAGTAATAGCCGAGAGAGAGATACACACAGACTCTAACTGTTAGTGAGATATAAATATACAGTAAATATATATACAAAGTGTGAGTATTATTATTGTGAGAATAAGTTTGAAAATATCGGAAGCGCACAGAGTTTGTGTAATACTATTTAAATATCGCACACAAAATATATTCTGGTTTTTTGTTATTTGATTGAATGAATGAATAAATATTTCCATAATATTAATATTATACAAAAAAATAAAATAAAAATAATTATTATTTCTACATTAAAACGCTTTTTTATATGTATTTAAGCGAATTGAAGTTAATATTAAATATATAAGACCGGATCTTTTTATGTCTAATATGTTTGCCATTAGTTAATATATAATATTATATTATATATATATCTTAAATTTGATAAATTCAATATTATTAAATAAATTAAGTAATCATCATAATGAAGTTATTTTTGTAAAGAAAAAACATTGCAAAAATTGCAAAACTTATTTTTAAATTTTTAAAATAAAAATTTATATTTATTTAATGTCAAATGTATTTCAGTAAAAAACTTCCAAAAAAATCTTTATATTATAATAATATTAATTTTGAAAACGTTTTTTTAAAAAAAATAATTTATGAATTCAATAATAATAAAAATCATTAATTATTAATAATAAAATATTAATGTCTTCTTATTACGACAACAACATTAATATCAACCAATTTAATAATACAATAAATTTAGAAAAATTGTTAGATATCATGATATTGTTGAACGTAACGGGAGATCCAATGCTAGATATGGAGGCTATACTCAAAAACCTGACACAAGAAGAGATAATTAATCTGACGAGACTATTCATCCCTCAGTGGTTAGAAGATGACATACGAGCCGAACATCTGATCCGCAATTGGATCACTTCATCGATGTACGCACTGATAGTTTTAGTATCGTTTGTCGGCAACCTATTGGTTAGTGTTGTTTGTATTAAAAATCTGACAAAAACCAATACATTGATACTATCGTTGTCGACATCGGATCTGCTGATGACTGTATTCAACATACCGTTTAATGTGGTACGACTATTGAAAGAGGAGTGGCCTTTTGGACGATTTCTTTGCGTGTCAGTGCCTTTTGTTCAAGTAATGGTAGTCTATGTATCCAGCTTTACTATGGCCGTCATCGCCTACCATCGATGGCGATCTGTAACTTCTATGACCAATACAGCTTTGCCCAGCATTTGGCCAATTATTATGACAATCATCGTAACCTGGACACTGTCGGCCATTATGGCTATACCGACATCGTTGTTCAACGATGTGGTACCAATGGTCACCTACAAGACCATCAAACGGTGTCGCGTCAATTATCCTGAATCCGAGTACAACATATCGTTGATACTAAGTCTGGAGATATTTATTACACAATACCTGATCCCACTGTCGTTGTCCATAATCCTCTACATTAAGATCGGCAAAGTTATCTCCAGACAGGGAAAGATCATTAATCTCAGAGGTTTGTCATTAAAATAAAATACAGTATTTATGTTATGTCTAATTGTTTTTATTTCTTTTTGCTTCTTCTTGTTATTTGCCTTTTAACCAATTTTTTTGGTTTTTTGTTTTTATTTTTGTTTTTTGAGTTAAGTTATCACTCACTGAATGTCAAACATTTGTGTCCATATGTTTGATAACTAGTTATATACTTTATTTTTATATAAAAATAAATTTTTATATTTAAAAAATAACTAATACTTCATTTATCTTGCTTACCACATCACTTAATGATAGTAATATCAATTTAATACTGAATTATTATTATTTATTTTTTTACATTAGACAACTAGTTAATGATTTAACTTTGTTATTCCTATAAAAGTTTTAATAATAATTATTTTTATAATACAGTATATACTTATAAATTATATAACAGTATTTTATAAATTGAATTGAGAAAATAAAACAAAATAAAAATGAATTAAAATTGTCTTAAAAGTATATATTAATACTATACTATAATATTAGTACTATAAAACTATTACATTGTATACTACTGTATAACTTGTTTGAGAAAAAATGATTTTTAATTTATTAGACCAACAACAGTGTTAGAATAAAAATAAAACAACTTATTATTATTATTATAATTTTCAGACAGTAATAGATGTTAAATATTGAAATATTTGATATATCATATTATATTTGTGGTGAGTGTGTGTGTGTGTGTGTAGTGTACAGTAGTGTAGCGTTTATGTAATGACATCTTTTTCAGTAACATATAAATCATAATATTAAATAATATATGAATTTTACAATTCACTTGTTATGATATATGTATTTTGTATAATATTAATAAATTTTGTATACAAAAACAATATATCTTTTTTCTAAACGATACAAATTACAAAATACTCTAAAAACTGTCTAACTTTTATTTTTTTAACAGATAATTAGCTGAGCATTTAAAATATGCTAATTTAAAAATCACTAAATTCATAAATGCTAAATCAATAATATGCAATTTATAATAAGCAATAATATAAATCAAATTAAATTTTAATACTTTAGTTACAATTAAATGTTATCAGGAAATGTTATGTTAAATAAAAGTAAAATAAAAATGAATGATATGTTACATTATTTTAAATATAATTAAATATTTTTATTACTAATTTTTGCTCATATGGTTGAAATTGAATGAAAAAATCAACTTTAAATGTCATTAGACATAAAATATTTTATAAATTCAATTATTAAAAAAAATGGTTATTATTTTATTTTAATATGTAAACTAAATTTTATTTTATATAAAATAATGCAACAATTTTTGATACAATTTATCTGATTATCTTTAAAATGCATACAACTGTAAAATTATATACAATTTATATTTAAAATTCAATTTTTATAAATTCAAAATAATCAGATATAATTTAGATATTTTTTAAGATTTTCATATTATTTTAGAATATTGTTATTTATTTGTACTTAAATTTTTGACTCTCTTTTTTCAATATAATCATTTATATACAACAATTTACAATAGTTTATAACATATACAAGAGAGTATATTTCAAAATAAAAATTGCACTTATATTTGTCAAATAAATATAAAATAAATTTGTCTCAACTCACTCACTCAGTGTTTAGTTTTTGTTTTTTATTACATTATTAAAAAGTTAAAATAAAAATCGATTTACAGAATAAAGTTATTACAGTAAAAGATATTATAAAACAATAAATTTATTTATTTTTGATATTTTTTTAAAGTTTATAGTTTTAATTTCAATAGTTTTAAACTATATTATCAATGTTTAATTTTAAATTAATTTGACTATGTATACTTTGAAAATTTAGTATAATTTTATAACAAATAAAAATAAATAATTATTTTATTTAGAAAAATATTTAATATTAATATTAAACAAAAATCGTATAAAATTTTATTATAAATTATTTCAATAATTTTCTATTTAAAATAACATATAAATACTTTTTTTTATTAAATTGTATGCTGAGCATTTTAAAAAATATCTATTACTTTTAAATAAAGACAACTATGGATTAAAAATATTGTAATTTAAATATAGATTAAATTAAAACGTTAAATAATTTAATATTTTATAATACGTTAATAATATATCAGTAAATTACTAATGTATAAAACTACAAATTCATATTGAAATTTAATTTGAATAATAATCAGTAACTTCATATAAAATAAGCAATTTTAGATAAATCCTAGAAATTCTATAACAAATAATAATTTTGATTGTTTTATTTTATTTTTCATTTACTTCATCATCAATTTATATTAATGTTTTCAATATATTTTATGTTAAATAAAAATATGATTAAAATGTAATTTTCAATATTTATATAAGAAATTATAAACTAATTAAATGTAATAAATGATAGAATATACAGTATATTATATATATATTATTCTTTATATATTTGAATGAGTTTACATTTATAATTAATGTTTTGCATTTAATAATTTATAAAATGCAATTAAAAGAGTTGTCTAAATTTTATTTTATTTTTATTAAACCACATTAATCTTATTAATCTTTAATTATTAAATTGTTTGCTAAATATACAATATTTATTAATAAATTATTTTGAAATTTCTATTAATTAGTCATTTTTACAAATCCTAGTTATCTTTTATAATATTTTATAAAAATTATTGGTTATAAGCTATATCAATATAAATTGTTTGAAATAATTTAATTATTATAATTCGTTTAGATATTTGATTTTTCTGATAAAATTTAATCTTTTTATTGTAAGGAAATTGATAATTATTTGCAATCTAAACGAATTTATATGAAAAACAATTTTATTATAACAACCAAATTAAAAAATTTTTCAGAAATTTTCATATCAAGCATTTCTAAATAAACCATAAATATCAATCAAAATACTAATAAAATTTTTAATTGATATTATATTGATTTAAATATGCTTATATAAATTGTATATAATGTATATACTGTATTATTTTCGTTTACTTTTAGTGAATTGAATAACAAAAAAATAATCATTTTTATTTTATTTGTTTCTATATTTTATTTTATTATTTACTATTAATAGTTATATAAAAGTTACTTAAATAGAGAGAGAGAGAGAGAGAGAGAGAGAGAGAGAGAGAGAGAGAGAGAGAGAGAGAGAGAGAATTTTATATAGTATTATTAAATATACACTAAATATATACACATATTTCATATCAAATTGTGATAACAATTATTGGGTCTTTATATTTAGAAAGTGAAGAGTGAGTGAGTGAGTGAGTGAGTGAGTGAGTGAGTGAGTTAGTGAGTGAGTGAGTGAGTGAGTGAGTGAGTGAGTGAGTSAGTGAGTGAGTGAGTGAGTGAGTGAGTGAGTGAGTGAGTGAGTGAGTGAGTGAGTGAGTGAGTGAGTGAGTGAGTGAGTGAGTGAGTGAGTGAGTGAGTGAGTGAGTGAGTGAGTGAGTGAGTGAGTGAGTGAGTTAGTGAGTGAGTGAGTGAGTGAGTGAGTTAGTGAGTGAGTGAGTTAGTGAGTGAGTTAGTGAGTGAGTGAGTGAGTGAGTGAGTGAGTGAGTAAGTGAGTGAGTGAGTGAGTGAGTGAGTGAGTGAGTGAGTGAGTGAGTTAGTGAGTGAGTGAGTGAGTGAGTGAGTTAGTGAGTGAGTTAGTGAGTGAGTGAGTGAGTGAGTGAGTGAGTGAGTGAGTGAGTGAGTGAGTGAGTGAGTGAGTGAGTGAGTGAGTGAGTGAGTGAGTGAGTGAGTGAGTGAGTGAGTGAGTGAGTGAGTGAGTGAGTGAGTGAGTGAGTGAGTGAGTGAGTGAGTGAGTGAGTGAGTGAGTGAGTGAGTGAGTGAGTGAGTGAGTGGTTAGGTAACAATGTCTACTGATTAGTCTTAATAAGAGACAAAAAACTAAGTCTAAGATAACAATCTTTTTTTTCGTAAAGCCTTAGGATGTTTGCGAAGCCATAAATATAACAAATCACAGCTATTATTGTTATACAGTATATATAGTATAATATAATAATTATGAAACAAAAATTTTGTTCACTACACAAATATAATAAAATTTATATATTATATTATAAAAATATATTTTTTAGTTTTAGTAATATTTAGACTAAATATTATATACCAAAAAATATTTTATTGTTATAATTTAATTAAAATGGTACGAAAAATTATTTTGTAGATATTATATTAATTTAAAAATTTATTAATAATTTAGTAAAAATATTACATTATAGCATTAAGTATTTGTATGCTAAATATTATTAATAATTATTAATAACTTAATAAATTTTATCCAATTAAATTAAGTGCTTAGAGCATGGATTTGACAAATTAAAATAACATTTTTTCTTATAGATAATTTGACAATAAAAACAATGAAAAAATTGTATACAATATAAAGTATAAATTGATTTACTTATTTATATATATATCAATGTATATAAAACAATTATTGAGATAGATGATGATTGATTTAAACATTTATAAATATATATTATGAAAAAACTAGTATTTTTGTAAATTGTATTACTATAATATTATTTGTTATTGTTCATTTTTATTAATTTATATGATTTTGTTTAATAATGTATATAATCTGATTGCGAAAGGTTTTGGATCTCAGGGGGTATAGGGGGTAAAATGGTAAAAAACTAAGTCTTGGGGGTAAAGTTATTGCATTTTAAACGGCTTAAAATTGCCTATAAATTCCATGAAAAAAATATTCCCAACTTAATTTATCAATACTTACAAAATATTTTTTTAAACAAATAATATTAATTTTTACAAATACATAATTTTTCAGAAAAATATAAAAAAGATCTAATTAATCTTTTTTTTGCAGTAATTAACTATTTTTAATTTAGTTATTTTGAATAGCATACGTTATATTTATTTATATTAAAATTCACTTTACATTATTTTTTTAATTAAAAAATTTATATATTTAAAAAATAGGCACTCGCAACCCTAGTATATAATATATTTAATATTTAATATAAAAGATAAAAATAACAT